TGATCTAGCCAACAGGGGCATTATCTCTTCTTTTCACATGCTCTGCTTTCAAATGGAGATAATAATCCTTACCTGGCCTTGCAGTAAGGCTATTGGAATAGTCCAATGAGATAAAAATGTCAAGGTGCTTTGAAACTGTAAAGTACCACACACATGTAAATTACCGTTATTATTCTCATTATCTCTCCCTCAGCTGGTCAGAACTCATCATCTGCGCCTACCTTCCTTGACAAAATATATACAAAATCTAAAATCGTTATCCGCCTCCCTCTGCAATTATCACACCGATTTTACTCTGTGTGGTGTGAGGTATCCATCCATGTTTGTGGCTCCCTTGACACAGCTGTGTGCATCCTCAAGGCAAGGACATGTCTCCTCCTCCTCACATTCCTCAGGGTTCTCTAGAGAAGGACTCAATTTAAGTCATTTGGTTCACACCAAAAGGAAAGACAATGAGGAAGCTGTCTAGATGTGCTTTGTTCCCTGAGTAGTGTTAAGAACAGCGACTTGGGCTGGTAAAATCACTTGTTGCCAAGCCTGATGAACTGAGTTTGATCCCTGGGATCCAACACACACACACACACACGCACGCACGCACGCACGCACCTCAAGTGAATAAAAATAATGTAATTAGAAAACTTAAGAACAGGGACTAGCTGAGGAGAAACTGAAACACTCTTCCCCTGCTCCATCTCAACAGATGCTCCTTGCTCCCTGCATCCCAACGGCTCTGCTTCACCTTATCCTCATGGCCTCCCTGGAGGCCATCTCCCAGTTTGAAAAACGCTAACCCACCAGCTTGCAAGTGCTTTTATGAAGGTCTCTGCCTTTCATCTCTAGGTGTCTAATATCTATCCGTCTTGACACAAAGTACCATCTCAATAAGTGTTGGAGAAGAAAGAATGAATGAATGAATAATCCCATAAATCAGTGTGTGCCTTGTAAGCAACGATGTCTTTATGCTTTTAGATTCCTCAGCATTGATTCTTTGGGCAGATGGGTAGGAAAGGGAAGAAAAGGGAGTTGAGTTGCCATTTACTGAACACTGACTGTGCTGGACATACATCCAGACTCAAACAGTGTGAGGTTATGTCCTGTTAGAAAGGGTTGTTTTCCCAACTACGATCATAGGGAAGGAACGGATGGCCTTTATGAGGGATGGTGAAGTCACACCCATGTTGGTGCTAAAGAAAACCATGGGTAAGGGTCCTGAGAGGAGCACACTGGACCAGTGTGGTCTTGCTTCTTCAGTAGCAAAGTGAGGACTGCCTCCCACCTCATGTCAGTTAAGAGCCCCAGGATTCCACACTGCTAAGAACCCTTCCCACCAGACACATCTGGCATGTCTAGAGGATGAATGAAAGAAGAATGAATAGGGAAGCATACAAATGAAAGGTGTGTCACCCGGCTGAGCCTCTGAGACTGTCATCCTGCTGTTCCCTATCCCTTCAGTATAGGCCGCTACCTCCACGAGCCACCCTACCACAACTCCTGGCTGTCAAGGAGTCTTCATGGCTCTCAAGAGGCTGGGTTACCGCTTCCCAGCTTCTCTCCACCTACCTTGAGACCCCCAGACTACCAGAGATCCTCCCATGTGGGGAGAAATCCTCTTAAAACTGGTTTCCTGAGCTATCAGCTAACCTGGTTTCTGAATTACCTGTCAAGGGTATAAATGATCCAGACCCGGTGTGGACGAAGAACCTGAGGCTGGGACTCCAGGGGAGGCAGGCAGATGAGGCCTCCAAGAGCAAGAAAAAAGCCTGGCCTGACACCAACCCAGGCCTTAGAGGGCATGTGGAACTGATATCCCACAAGGGTCTGTCACCTTCTGGCTCTTCTTCTCTGCCCTGGTTCTAGGTAGTGTTTACAAAATAACTATTTTCCCAGAATGGGGGGAACAGGGAGGATTAATCAAAATGTGGAACCCCCCTACAACTGGCTATTCTGCATTTTAATCATAGCTTTACACATTTACCTCCAACCCCACCCTCTGCCTACTGGCCAATGTTTTTGCCTTCTTTGTAGCTCCGCAAGTCCATAAGCTTGGAAAACATCCAGAGGTGTTACTGTGCAATTGAACGAAGAAATAAGCAGACATCTATAACTCATGTTATCTTCTACTGTAAACGATAATGAGAAGCAGAGACTTTGGTTAACCTGCCTAAAGTTACAGGGTCAAATACTGATTGACAGAGCCAGCTTTAAAATCCAAAACAGACCCTATCATTTTCCTTCCGAATGACATAAAAAAAAAAGAGTGACAGAATCTGAACATCAACAGAGTACCAGACACTATACTGTGGGTCCCAAAGCTGTAAGGGGGGCTGACATCAGCCCCACTGTAAGGATTGTAATACTGAGGCTCAGAGAGTTGCTGGCTGGCTAGATTGTACCTCATTCTTCCCACCCAATTACACCTGCCTGTGCAGAAATTCACTTTTTGAGCCTATTTTTTTTTGTTACTTCAGGCAGCTTTTCTTTACCAATCTTCCAAAAACCATGTGTCTTATCTCTGCGGTCCCACAGCCCTCTGTGCTTGTGAGATCCTCAACAGCAGAAGGCAAGGGGTACATACATGCATGCATGTGTGTGTGCATCTGTGTTTCATATGTGTGCATGTTGGGTGTATGTGCATGTATGTATGTGTGTGTTCCACATATATGAGGCTGCTACTCACCACTAGGCACAATGCCTGGCACAGGAGGAGACCAGTAAGTACTGGTGAAGGGAACCAGGAAAGGAGGGAAGAAGTTAGAAAGGAAGGAAAAGAAGAAAAGGATTTTCCAAAGACAGTTAGAATGCAGGGAAGTTGGAATTGAATCTCGGCCTTTATAAAATATACAACCTTGCAGGTAGAGACCATCTGATTATTAAAGACTTGTCTTAGTGTCTGTTAACACATGTTAATGAATGGAGAAAGGTTGTGTGTGATTCCAGGAAGTCTGTTGACCTGAGAGCACAGGGCTCAGTATGTGGCCATGGTGGAAACCACATCTATACATGCTGCTGGAGTCCATCTCATTGTGACAGCAACAGTGACACATCAGAGAAGAGTCTGCCATTGGCCACCATGATACCATCAAGTCCTGCAGAATGAAAAACCCTGGCAAGGTCAAGACACCAAATATAGACAGGGTTAGGTTTGACTGTCAAGTGTTTTAGGACGAAAAGAGGCACCTGCCTACATGAGATGTGTGGTTTCTTACTGCTCAAGGACAGGGTGGTTCTGGAGCCTAAACTCAGTTCAGGACCATGCAAAACAGGAAACTTCCCCCAGGAGGTGAGCTAATGGTGTGGAAAGAGTTTGTTGTTGGCGTGCTTCCCCATTCTTCTGAAGAAGCTCACAAAAGGCCCAGCACAATCAAAGTGAAAGCCATCCATCTGGAGGTCAGGAAACACGTTTGTCCCTAAAAACTGAATTCTGTCCCCAGTGTCCACCTGTACTCCAGCACAACACTGCCTTCTTAAACCCTCACAGTACTGGCTTCTCATGAGATTTCATTGTAATAGATACCTTGTAGATCTGAAAGTCACATGTAACTTTTAGTGTCACAGTGAACCTATAATCCGGGACAAAGCCAAGGCGAAGGCATAGCTGGGGAATGGGACACTTCCAACCCATTAACTATGGTGACACGGTGGGAGCTGGAGCTTTGTCTCTGGTAATGCCTAGCCTGCTTGCTCCTGTGTCAAGGGCAGGAAAAGGCCCCTGGCTGATCCACTGAGACCTTACCGTGAAGACACACGTGAGAGGCAAATGGAAAGGGGGCAGTGTGGGAGCAGGCCTGTGCCCACAGACTGGGGATGGGCTCTCCACATCAGTGCGTATCTTGTGTCTAGACCATGGAGACAGTCTGTCTTCAGTGACACATTTGGACATTTTGGAGACAGGACCCATGTTTCTAACCTAGTTTACTCCCCTTCTGTGCAGAGTACCCTGACGCAGAGGCCGTGGAGGCTGTGACCGCGTGGCCGCATGGCAGAACAACCGCATCAGTACTGACTGGCCCCACCTTTCACCACTGCCAGAGTCTTATACTCTGCAGGAGCTGCTCTGTCTGTTCTCCCTGTCTTCTGCCTTTTACAATCCATTCATTCCAGACTATACCACTTCAGATGAGGAAACCTGAAGGCCAGGGTGGTTCTCCTATGAGCAAACCAAAGGAATTTTGTGTATCTTTATACTAATCCCTACATACCTCCAATGCACAAAGCTTTCTTGTTTGTTTTGCTTTGTAGTGGGTTGAACTCTGCACATACCACACAAGCACTCTACTGCTGAGCTGCAACCCCCAGTTCTCAAAAGCAATTTAACACATCCCATTTCTACGGAAACAGGCCCTGACTACCCAAGATGGCAGTTTTCAGCATCTGCCCTCCACATCTGCAGCAGCCTTCCTAGCATATTCCAGGCCTTTCCCATACTCACAAGTGCTGCCCTTGAACTCCTCAGGTGCCTGGATACAATGCCCACCTTCCAAGACCCAGGCACTTCCTAAAGTCTCTCCCATATACGCCCCCCCCCACACACATACACACACACACACACACACACACATACACACAAACAGCCTGTTCATGCTCTCAACCTTCTGGTCATGTTAGCAGGAACCCACCTAGGTCACTTTCTGGCTCACAGTAACAGTATGTGTTTCAGATCACGTCCAGTTCTCTTTACTGTTCTAAGGTCTGTTTGGAGGGCTACCCTAAGTCCCTGTGCTAACTAACCTCGTGCTGAACGGGCAGCAGCAAGCACTCTGTCTACTCTGGACCTCTGAGCCACATTCCCCAGCGTTCTTACCAGTGTGGCCAACGCTGCATTCATGGCCTCCTATCACATTCACAAAGAGGAGGGCGACTCCTCCTCTGGGTGACTGCTGAGCCTAGCCTCAAGCAAGGGCCCTTGACCTGCTTCTCCCCTTTATCCTCCAGGAAGGGGAGATGCAGGAAGGTGCCCCTCCCACTGTGAGGAGTGGTAAGCGGCCTGCCTGGGCACTCACCGCTGCCAAGCCGCAGGAGCAGCACATCTTGGAGTCTCCTGTTGAGGTCGCGGAGCTCCTTCATTTCAGACACCAGCGCCCCGTACTCCTTGAGCTTCTTGGCCTGCTGTACCAGCTGCCTCCGAGTCCGCTCCAGCTCCTGCTGGAGGTGGCGCATCTCCTCCTGCTGCTGCTGGTAGTTTCGCAGCAGCTCTTCATACAGAGCCCGGGGCACAACAGCATCCTCCAGGCTGTCCATGTCCTCTGTTCCCGGTGAGGCCTCCACAAAAACCTCTTCGGGACAAGTGCTGTGACCCAGGCTCAGGCCGTTCTGTCTCTCTAGCCGGGCCACCACTGCCTCGATACTCTTGTGGGCCGCTTCACTAGGCTTCCGCCCCTCCGGTCTCTGTGTAGGACAACGAGAATCAGTTCAGGCAAGGGCAGCTGGGACTTTCTTGGACTGCAGCTCAATATTTCCCCAGACAATCCTAGAATCACAGAACCACAGAACATCAGTGTTTGGAGAAACCTGTTACAGACACAGTCAAAGCCCTTTATTTTGCAAATGGGGAGACAGAGGCCAGAGTGCTCTTGCCAAAAGTCATACAAACAGGTAGTGGCAGGAGCAGGTTACTCCTGTCATGCCAACACTTCACTTTTTCTATTCTAGCATTTGGCCTCTTAGATGTACATATCATACATATAGGGACCATTCTTCTAAATTTCCCAGCCCTCCCTAGCCTCCGTGGTGCCTGGGCAGTCACTTGCTAATGGGGGGGGGGGTCCAGTGTGGATTTTCAGAGGATTGGGTGACAATCTGTCCTGCCCAAGCCATCCCAGAGGAATCACACTCAAGAACATACATATGCAAGGAATTCTATCTTGTAACCTTTTTAAGACTGTTTCAGTTTGGAAGGACGTCAAAACCCAAACCCACTCTAATCTAGGGCAGCACATATGTCTTGTTTTCTCTGCTTCTCTACTGCCTACTCACTCAGGACTGGCAGTTGGCAGGAGGCTGACAAATGTTTACTCAACTGAAAACTTCAAAGAATGCTAGCACTGGGGTGCTTTCAGTTTCTTCATGTTGCAGGTAAGCAAACCAAGGCCCAGACAGGGGACGGACCATCCCCAGGGTGGCATGGGGAGTTACACGCCACAGAGCCAGAGTCTGGAGTCCAGCCCCCAGCAGAGTCCCTCTCTCACATCTGCCAGTCTCTCACTCAGCAGGACAGCACAGAGCAAGGAGGGGGAAGACCCACCACTACCCAGGGGCAGCGCAAATGCACGAAGCTCCCACCGAGGGTGGCACAACAGCAGAGTGGCTGGCGGAGTCTGCACCTAGGGCTGAAGGGTCATGAGATCTCCCAGAGGCACACTAGGAGGTATAGACAAAGTATACAAGATTCTGCCCAGTTTAACCATGGCAGGCCAGGCACGACTCCACTTTCCAGTTTCAGGAAATTAAAGGTCATGAAAATGAAGTAAACTCATGACTTAAGATTGAGTAACACTGAAAAATCCTGGCCATTTTACTTGCTGAGATAAAGAGTACATGAATGTATCTGCTAAAACTGTAATGATCACCTTAAACATCTATCCACATCACTACACTGTGAGAACCCTGGGTACAGGGACCACATGGCTATACTCTATGACAACAGGAGCCAGCACTGAGCCAGAGAAACAGCAGGGCTGTAATGGATGTCACGCAGTAGATTGACCACATCTTTTACACTACACTCTGGGGATGTTCTTGACCTTGTGTCCCAAATGATATCACAGAGCCAAAGTTACCTATTTTCACATCCCTCTTCCTTTCTCTGGGATACTCACAGAATGGGGTAAGGGGTAGACAGATAGCTAGACTGTTGATCAAGATTTCCAGTAGGGTTTTTGTTTGTTTGTTTTTATGTAGTGAGTGACCAGCTGGGGCACATAACAAAGAAATGCAACCTCATGAAAAGTTTTCCATCCAACCCAGGATCCCATAAATGCCCTCTGTGAATTTTACCAATATCTTTCCACAGCGAGTCCAGCCTCAGACCCCCAAACCAACATCTCCTTAAAGTCCATCTCTAGAATTGTGTGCCAGGGAAAAGCATGTTGTTCTAAATCTCCAGCAGCCATGACCCTGCACACACTACCACAGGACTATGCCTGGAGGTAGTCTAAATGAACACTCTCTGAATAGTGGGCCATAGGGAAAATGCAATTGCTGTCTCAAGCATCCTCCATCCTACCCCCCCAAAAAAAGAAAAAAAAAAAGCCCATGGCCTATGCCACCAAGGGACATTTACATGGGGAATGAGGCCAGACTGGAATTCTTTAGCTCTGAGAAATATAAAATCACTCCCAAGAATGCTCAAGAAAAGCAAAGATTTTGTTACCTTGATGTGTCGAAGCTGTAAATCTTCTTCCCCATAGTCTTTAGCCTCCCCATCGTCTTCTACATGACTGAGAGAAAGTTTGGGGATTTTTATTTTCTTCTGCATCACACTGTTCTCAAGGTCAGATTTGTCTTCTAAAATGCATATCAAGAGAACAAGGTTGACTATGAGTCAAAACAGTCAAAAAGTCCAAAACCTGAAATCCTAGACAATAAATGAGGCCAAACCAGCTAAAAAGGAAAAGCAACAAACCCAGGGGCTATCGTAACCTGCATAGAGCGCTCCGAAAGGCAGCATCTCGCATCTAGGTGTGTGCCAATCAATCACATGCCAAGTACTAAACAGCACCCAAATGAGTCTGCATAGGGGTTTCTGCATATCCATCTAAAAGATTGCCTTTTATGGAATTCTAGAATCCCGGGGCTAGATAACCCCTGGACTGTCATCTGGTGTGGCAGTTTGAATGAGAATGGCCCTCATAGGGTCATGCTTGTATACTTGGTAGGACTGTTTGGGAAGGATTAGGAGTTGTGACTGGCTGGAGGAGGTGTGTAGCTGGGGTGGGGTTTGAGGTTTTAAAAACTTGTGACATTTTCAGTTAGCTTCTCTATGGCAGAAAGGATGTAAGTAAGCTCTTGGCTCATAAATTGCCTTCATCATGGTGTTCTGTAACAGCAATAGAAAGGTAACTAAGGCACCTGGTCTGAACTTAATTGACATGTGAATTTCTCAATGCTCAAGACATTTTTACACCTAGTCTCTCCTCGAGAAAACTTGGTTTCTGTGGCTTGGTCATCAAGAGGCATAAGAGGAGTGGCAGTTCTTAAGGTGACACCTACGCTGTAAGGGCATAGACAGGAATGAGGAAAGGAAGGTATATTTCCTCAAGAGCACAAATGTCAGAACGTGGGGTCTAACAGACTCTGGTGATTGGCTGTTCCAACTCTCACTTCACAGGTAAGAGAACTCAATTCCAGGGGATGGCAGAGGCTCCTCTGAAGTGTGAGTCTGAGGAAGAGCCAGGAGTGGGGAATGGCTCTAATGTCTTGTCTAGTGTTTCTCTGTGTGCTCATAACATGTACTGAAGAGTACCACAATTATGAACCCGTTGGATCTCCTTTCCTTACTGTTAAACCTAATCTTCTCACAGAATCTAAGAGAGTTTGTTCTGTTTTTTCCTGTGCAGGATTCAAAATGGACTTGCTAATTTGTCTCTCACTGTGGGAGCCAGAAGTCCAAACAGGAAAGCCATAGAGTTAGAAATCTGAACCTACTCTGAGAATGGTCCTTAGTAGTAAAATCGTGTTTTCTGCAATGGAATCGAGACTCTGGGAATTTCTGTTTCTTATGTTCCCCAAACATTCCCACCATGGGTCTTAAATGCATTCTCTAGTGTGCTGCCTGTATGGCATGTGGCCAGGAGCTGGCTATATGCAATCTCTCTCGGTGTGTGTGTGTGTATGTGTGTGTGTGTGTGTGTGTGTGTGTGTGTGTGTGTGTTTAACATGCAAGTGTTAAACATGCCCTCATGTCTCTCCCAAGCAAGGTTTCTCTGCTCAAAACTTGAAAGTAAATCTGAGAAGGATTTGTATAAACCATAACTATTTCAGAACGTATGCAAATGCAGCCTTCTCAAATCTAGCTTCAGCTGATCAGAATGGGACTTCTGGATTGACCAGCTCTGTGTGAGGTCCAGTTCCTCCATGACAGGGGAAAGATGAGCAAAGCCTCAGGCTAGTCCGACTCAGGCCTCTAACACAGCTAGGGGAAGAGAACAAGAGTTCAGAGTACTCTTCAAATTGTGCCTGGCACACTGGGCACTCCGTGAGTGGGGTGTCATGCTTCCTATTACCAGTGTGCCTGAATTATTTTATTTCCATAAGCAGAGGCGACTAAATATTAAATTTAAAATGAAAGAAATGGCAGGCAGCATATGAAGTACAAAGGAAAAACTCATGAAAAAGATGTGGTGTTGGTTAACAGCCCCTGATGGGGAAAGCCCTTCCTCCTAGGGCAGAGGACTCATCCACAGTTCTGTTTTCACAAGAATGATGTGTTCTTGTTCTCTTTGTATCTATAAAACCCCTCCAGCAGGTTAGGAATGTGGTAGAGGGGACCTGGGTATTTCTAAAAGAACAATGTCTTCCCTCCTACAAATCAATGCTGAATCTTTCTAAGGCAAAAAGCCTGCTGAAATGTAAAACCTCAAGAGGGTGCATCAAAGTAAATTATCTTGGCCTAGGATGTTTGTGCACATATACACACAGGGAGTAGGGAGGAAAAAAGGGAGGGGAGAGGAGAGGAAGACGGGTAGTGGAGAGATAGGAGAGAGGGAGAGAAGCAGAAGGGCTGGGATAGACAGACACAGAGAGCCCAGGATCAGATGGGAGGATGCTACAGGGTTTCTTCCTGATCCAGTCCTCAGTGTGACAAGTTTAAATTGTGAGATGCCACCAAATGGGAACTAACAAGTGATGCTTTGCCTCCCAGAGGTGAAATAGCAGTTCAGACAGACGATGGTGTTGAGTTAGTGCAGAAGGAGGCAATCATTCAGGCTTACAAATCTGGGCATTGCATGCGCTATGGTTCTCAGATCATCTCATTCAACCCTTTCAAAATGTAATGAGGGAAATGAGGTTACTTCAGAAAGGCTATGTATCCCTGCAGCATGCAAGCAGATCCAATGACAAAGGAGGAACAAAAGAGACTGGGACTGTATCTTGGAGAGTTCACTATTATGTAAGGTCACGATTGTTAGTGTTATAGCATGAGCATTTAGGAGAAGCTCCATTGTGTAGTTCAGGTCCAGAAGTTTCCCTCCTGTAAGACAGCTAATATTTTTGAGAATTATGCTCTGCAAAGTTGAGGCTGCGTCCTTGAAACAGATTCAGGAGCAATCAGATAGGGATAAAAATAAAAGCCCATGAGAAGATAATTCAAGATTTCCAGCCAAACTTGAATATTGGATTTCACAAGCAAGAGAGATCACTGTGGCCTGCAACAAGTTTGGATATGTTGATTTTCTTTCCCATTTCCTCATCTGTGAATTGAATAATTCCTATTTACATCGCCGTGATGTGGAGACTATCAATTCTGTATGTTAAGAATGTGAGGAAAATAAACAGTTTTGAAGAGTTTGGTGTACATGAAAGTGTGACCATGTAACCTGGGTTTCAGTTACAGCCACACCACCCAGAGTGCACCTGATCTTGTCTGATCCAGGAAGCTAAGCAAGCACTTGGATGGGAGAACACAGAAGAAAAGAGGGTCTAACAGAAAAGATGGGGTGAGATGTGTTTGCATGGATCCCTCAAAGGTGATTCAGTTATAGGCAGGAAAAAGAGGAGAGGAAGAAAAACTAGTTCAAACTAGAGAATAAATGGCCTTGAATGCCAAGTTAAGATGAGTTGAGGTTTAGTTTGCAATTGTGGAGTCACATGCCTTGGATTCCATACCCAGCTCTATAATGTGGGAAGTTGGGTGAGGTCTATCTTATCACTGGTCACTTGTTGTTGTTGTTGTAATGAGGCTGTAAAATTTACCAAAGGTGGAGACCAAATCAGCTCAATAAGCACACCCTAACAGAACCCTATGCTAGTTGAGGCCTGAGGCTGGCTTGCCTCATGAGCTGGAGACCTACCTAACTCCTGGCTTGGGATGGGTGAAGCCTGGAGTGCTCTTCACTTGATGGCAATGATGCCTGGAGGCCCCACCCCTAGACACACACAGGCTCCATGTTCTCTCATGCCCTCCTCCTTCCTTGTGTGTTTCAACTGCACTTGTCTGTTCTATCGTCCTCTGAGGCCTCTTTCCACATCGTGCATGCTAGAACTGGCCATACAATAGAGACTTACCAAACAAAAAGTTTTAACCAAATAATAATAAAATAATAATAATAATAAAAAGAAGAAGAATACAGGCTCTGCCAGTAAGCACATAAATGGTGGATACTCAGCATCAGTCACTGGGCACTGTGAACAATATTATGATACTCCATTTTATACTGAGGATGTCCACAAACAGAAAAAAAGGGGGGTTAATAAGTGTTGAGGATGATATAGAAAACTGGTGGGATTGTAAAAGGAGACAGAAATAGAAATAGTTTGGCATTAGCTAAAAGAGTTAAACACAAAATTACCATATGACCCAGCATCTCTACTTCAAGATGTATACTCAAGGAAATGAAAGCATGTCTACCTAGAAACTTGTACATCAATATTCATAATAGCCAAAAATCTAAAGAACACAATTGTCATTCAACTTATGGATGGATAAAGTATGGCATAGCCATACAATAGCGTACTAGTGAACCATAAAAAGAAATGACACACTAGTTGATGATACAATATGGATAAATCTTAAAAATATTTCACTACATTAAAAGAACTCAGACATAGAAGCCATGTATCTTATAATTCTGTGAGTCAGTCATAATAGGGAAATTTAGAAATAAATTAGCAGTTGCCAAGAGCAAGGGGAGAGTGATAATAATTTTGGGGATTGGAGGAATTATGAAAATGTTTTGGAACTATATAGTAGTGATGGTGACAGAATACACCAAGAAACAATGAATTTCACACACTTTAATTAAAATGGTGAATTTTGTGTTGATTTAAAAAACAAAACACTTCAATTTAAGAATACGATACTGCTGGGTGTGGTGGTACATATTTGTAATCTCAGCACTTTGGGAGGATGAGACAGGAAGATCTTAAGTTCAGTGCTAGCCTGGGATAAACAGAAAGTTTCAGACTTGCTTGAATTCCAAAATGAGACTCCTGTCTCAAAAACAAAGAAACAATGTGGAATGTCTACTACATATAATATGGATAGCACTTCACAGTGACTCTGCAAACAAGCATTGACCACTACTTCTTTTGCTTTTCACACACAAAAAAAGTCTCACATAAAACCCTTCCCTAAACTCACCTAACAGCAATGGTGCAGAGCCAGAATGTGACAGAGACTTCTGTCCCACAAGCTAAGTTGCATGGCCTCCTAGGACATGCATAGAACACAGGAGCCATGATGACCCACTGGTGATGATTGAATGAATGACTGAATGATGGACACAGATAAGGAGAGCCCAATTTCCTGGTCTGAAGCTAAGCGTAGGAGTCTACATTACTCCTGC